TGATCCTAGGACTTGGGAATGGAACAAGGTTTTTACTTCAAACCACTGTTTTCTTTGGTGACCGTTTTGTTTCTGTGTATTTATCAATGCATATTAAAGGTAAAAAAAAGCGGGATGCCTCCTGGACCTCGAGCTGGGTTTTCTATGTGTGTTCATAAGAAGCGAGCTTTGTTCTTTGGGGGTGTGGTGGACATGGAAGTTGGAGGTTTGTTCTTTCAATTGTACCTTTCTATTTTCGCTAGGCAATGCAGTCCTGGCTTGAAGCTAGGACTGACCTTGTAGGGTAGGTGGATTTATTTTCCTTTTGTTCCTGGATGCATGCAGGTGATGTAATGATGAGCTTGTTCTTGGACGAACTTTATGGTTTCCAATTAGACAACCATCGCTGGTAAGCCCCATCTGAGGTTTATTTATTTATTTACTAACAGTTTGAGACTGTTGTAATCATTGTCCATGTCCCTTAGTTTGCTCATTTTCTATGACCTTAATTTGTCTCTTTCAGAAGGTTGTAATTAAGTTCTGGTTACCTGTACAATCAGCTGCAATCTAATTTGATTTTCTTGAAAGAGCAATTAGCGTTTTGCAGTTTACGTATCATGATTTGTTCCAGTGATAATATTCTCCTCCAAACCCAACTTCTCACTCTTTTTCAGTTTTTTTTTCTTTTTTTTTCTTCCAGTGATTTATGAAGTTTAATTGTGTTTTAGGCAATGAAATCTAAAGTGCAATAGTTCCTGCCTATATGTGAATCACAATTTTGTTTCTGGTACAGGTACCCATTGGAGCTACGGAAGGGGAAATCAACAAAAGATAAGGTTTGGCAATGTATAGATTTATAGCATGAATATGTACTGATTTCAGTGTTTTATAAAAGTCATTGATCTTTCACTTTTGCAGGTAAAAAGGAGTTCCGGACGAAAACGTAACGGTGATGATAAGATAAATTCAACTGAACCAGAGGAGTCTGTGGCAAATGATAAAGATGATAATTCAGAGAATGATGAAGAAGCGGATGACTTGGAAAGCAAAATTGATGGTATATCGAATCAAATGGCTACAACCATGACTGGTGGTAATGGTGACTTAGCTGTCAAATCTGAAGGAAAGCCACAGGAATCTAGTGCTAATTTGGATTCACAAATTTCTGATATACCAGAGGTTTTTTTTAATGCTGAATTTATCTATTTATGTATCTTTCCTCAAACAGTAAAATGCATCCATTTGATTTATGAATTTGGCTATTATGTCAGATAGTGAAGCCCTGTGGACGTATCAATTCTTGCATGGTTGTTGGAAGAGATACCTTATATGTTTATGGGGGAATGATGGAGGTTAAAGACCAAGAAATTACACTCGATGATTTGTATTCTCTTAATCTTAGCAAACTTGACGAGTGGAAGTGCATCATACCGGTTTGTAACAGATTGTTCTCTGTGTATAGATGTTCATACCATCTTGATATTTTTCAAATGTTGTATTGCCTTGATTGATCACTAGACATAACTGTTACTATTGCAGATTTTATTGTGAATAAACTGAGACAACTGCTTTGCTTTTGTTGAATTTCATTATTTTAAGCCTGAGTTTGCTTTTCCCTTTACCTAGGCGTCGGGATCTGAATGGGTTGAGGTCTCTGAGGATGAAAATGAGGATGGAGATGAAGATGATGATAGTGAAGATGAATGCAATGAAGACAGCAACAGTGATGAGACTGATGATGATAATGATGAAGAGGTTTTTTATTTACTCTATAATGTACATGTGTTTTTCCTTTTTTCAACAGTTAAGGGAATCCAGAATTTGTGGTTAAGATACACTTTGATGACCTTTTATTTGAAGTTTTGAATTATTTCTTCCTTTGGTATTCTGTCTGCCCTTTTTTCCTCCTCTCTATAGCTAACTCAATTTTGGAACAAAGGATTTTAAATTTAATGTTGCATACATCCTTGTATTAGCTATTTTGATTCTTTGTATATTTTGGTTTATGGGGTTCATGATACCATCTTATTTGATCTCTCGTATTTGGCCATGCCTGTATTACAATTAGATGAAAATCATTAGACTGACTTTTTGAAAAAGTAAAATATTGAGCTGTCTGTTGTCTTCACTTTTTATGCGTGCACAGAGTGGGAAAGATGGATCCCTTCAAATGGGAGATGCTGTTGCTTTAATCAAGGGCGAGGGAAGGGCTCTACGGAGGAAAGAGAAACGGGCCAGAATAGAGCAGATCAGAGCCAGTCTTGGCCTTTCAGATTCACAAAGAACCCCAACGGTGCTGCTTTTTAATATTTTATTTCTATTTAAATTTTAAATTGTATTGCAAGTGTGAATAAATGAGTATAATTTATGGGTTGAACTTGTAGTTGTTTTGCTTTCACATTGTACCTGTAAGCCTATGTCTTTAGTTGTGCATTTTCTTCATTACATAACTTTTTCAGCTATTATTGCTGTATGTCTTATGTGAAGCCTGGTGAATCTTTGAGAGAATTCTACAAACGTACAAATATGTACTGGCAAATGGCAGCGCATGAACATACTCAACACACTGGAAAGGTCTGTTTCTTCCTTTTCCTCAATAAAGAAAACCCTTAGTTTCAACAGATTTATCAAGGATAAAAATGAATGAAGAAACAAATAATAGGCTGCATATGGAGGAGGAGAAGTAGCTTCCTATTCAAGCTGTTTTCATATTTGTTTTCTTGTGCATGTGATGTGACATGGTGTGGTCTTGGCATCACAGGAGCTCCGTAAGGATGGTTTTGATCTTGCTGAAGCTCGATACAGAGAGCTTAAACCAATTCTTGATGAGGTAACTTGTTTGGTTTGTGTCTCAAGGTTTATATAGGTTTTATTCCTGAGAATTTAACGAAGATAAAAAATTGACTTTAATGCTTCTGTGTATGCTGCAGTTGGCCATTTTAGAGGCAGAGCAGAAGGCTGAAGAGGCAGAAGCTTCAGCTGAAACTAGCACGAAAAAGAGAGGCAAGAAGAAACGATAACCGGTTCACAGTGACGGAACCAGCCGAAAAATTGGGGTGGCTTCTACCTAGATGTTTCTCAAGGGGATGTTGATTTTTGGGGTGGGCTGCAGCACAGGCAAGCCGCCCCCTGGTTCCCAACCTGGCTGTTCAACATACGAATGTGCGCATACGCATATTGCTGCTGCCATATTGAGTATGTTTTAAGATAATTGTAGAATATGATTTCGACGAAAATTATGACAATGACCTGTTTGTGACATAAATTTTTTGCAAGTTCGTGGTTTCCCTCATTAGTTCATTTTGCTTTTCCTATGTATTTAAAAAATAAAAAAAAAATCATTTTCTCAATATTCTTCAACTTCATACAATGTTCAAAATGCTCTCGAATCGACAACACCAGAAGCTAAAACAATGACTCACACAAACCTTTCATGGTTACTCATATGCTAAACTAGAGGTATATCGCAACAACAGCCAATCACAAACACGCGTAAAGCATCACAGCAAGAAAATAAAAAGGAAATCCGACCAAAAATTAAGAAAAAGGAAACTTACAAGCAAAGCAACAAACAACTGCATTAGACATTTGCTAACCATTTCTCTGCTGACTTTTTTTAACGACTTTGCTTCACATTCGCGTGCCTTTTAGCCCTGTTTGGTTCACGGAACGAATTTGAGAAGAAATCATTTCCTATGTCATTTTTCAAGAGATGGAAAATGGAAGGTTCCTTTTGCACGTTTGATAATGCTGGGAAAGTAACCGGGAGATATCACTTTATTTCATTTTCCATGTTTGTTTTGAGTAGGAATGGAAAACAAAGTTTGTATAAATTTTCAATTATACCCATATTAAATCAAATAAAAAAAGAATGCATTTAATGATATATTGTAATTCTAAATTGTTAAGGGGACAAAATGTTTATTTAATATTGGCTCATTTTCCTAAACTTTCTCATGATGAGGGAAAACAAAACCCAAGTTGGGATGATGACTTCACTTTCCCCCTTACTTTCCCATGGCACAGGCAACGATTTTCCATGCCTTGACTTACCAAAAATGGGAAAGTAATTGATTTTTCATCCTCAAGTCTCCTTTTCCATGAACCAAATGGGGCCAAAGTCAACAATTGTCAATCAAACTCATAAATAAGTGAAAAAAAAATGAAAGTGGGTAACCCAATTCCAACTCAGAAACAGAAGTGAAAGAAAGAAAAAAAGCAATTAAAATCAAGGGAAATGCTAACAACCTTCTCTCTAACATTCTCCTTTGGACCTTCTCCTTTTTTTGCTTGACATGTGTCATTCTCCTTACACTTAAAACAATGTCATTAATATATTATACAAGTTAACTTTTGCTTTCCGAGTTTACTCTTATTAAATGCATTCAATTTATCCAAAAAAATTTCACAACTTTCTTGCCATCTTATTAATTTTTTTAAACGTCAATTATTTTTTTAAAGAAAATGTTTGCTTTTTTCAAAAAAAGAGGAAATCTCCGTTTTTTTTAAAAAACACAAAGGACCTTTTTAAAATACAAATAAAAATATCTAAACCCTTTGTGTTTTTTTTTATTTTTTAAAAGGGACATTTCCTCTTAAAAGCATATATTTTCTTTAAAAAAAAATAATTAACGTTAGAAAAAAATTAATAAGATGGTAAGAAAGTTGTGAATTTTTTTTGGATAAATTGAATACATTTAATAAGGGTAAACTTGGAAAATAAAAATTAGATTGTATAATATATTAATGACATTATTTTAAGTGTAAGGAGAATGACACATGTTAAGTAAAAAAGGAAGAAGGTCCAAAGGAGAAGGTTAGAGAGAATATTGCTAGCATTTCTCTAAAATCAAAATCCTCTTTTCTTTCCTTTCCCTTCTGTAGTATGAAAACTATATTACATAATTTTTCCACTTTCCCAACTTCATCTTTCTTTTTTTCCTTGAACTAAAATACTTTCTTCTATAGAAAAAACAATTAAAAGGAACTAAAATATTAAGGTGTTAATGACATACCGAATACTCGGATATCAGGCTATTCTCGACCGGTATAAGCAAAACTCTCTCTCCGTTTGGAGCTTCGAGCTCTAAGAAGACAAACAGACCCATATTGGCATTCGGGGTGCTCCGAAGCTTTCCCAGGTTCTGGTTTTGCTCAGAAAAGCTCAAACTCTCTCATTTTTGAAAGAGATGAAGAACACCAGCCTTTTTATTCCAATTCTTTTATTGTTATCGTTTTCCCTTCAACAAACAGTCCAAGTCTCCTCCTTTACACAGAGAAACCAGGTACTTCTTTATGCGTGTGTGAGTGCCTATACGTATGATATTGTTCTTTACTTATTTAGATGTTGAATTGTGCTTGGTAGCTTCAATTTTGTGTATTGGATTATGGGTTTTGTAAAGTAAAGATTTTTAACTAATCAACTTTTGGTTCTAATTGAGAGAACTTTACAGAGAGTACAAAAATATGGATTGCGTTTTTATTTACGTTTGGATTTTCCAGAGTTTGAACCCGTTAAACAGAGCAAAGGAAAGGTTTTGATCAAAAGGGAAAGATGTGTCAGAGCTTCACCCTAGCTTGAATTACATTTTACTCAAATGCTAAAATGTCTTGTCTCAGTATGGTTATTACAATAGTCACAATTTTTAGTTATTTCATGCATATGAGCATTTTGTGAATATAATTATATATTTTTTCTCCATGGACCTTCCATAGTGACGTAATTTTCTGCCTTTTTCTAACCCAGGAGTTTGAAAAATCTGCATCTTCAAGGTAATATTACTTTCACTCTTTAGATTCATTTGACAACCTTTCATTGGCTATATTCGTTTTTAGTTCAAACATGTATGATGAAATTTGTAACTGGGATTTTATATTTCTCTCTTTGGGTTGGACATATTTTCAGTACATTTTTTTTTCGTATTTTCTTATTTTAGAACTCTTGAACAAGAACACGAGCATGCTCATGAAGTACATTGTTCCAGAGAAAGAAGTAGGGCAGCATGGAAAATTATCGAGGAGGTATGGACAAACATTGAGTGGTTTTACAATATCATACCATGCCTAATAGTGTGCTAAAGGGCATCTCTGGTTTGTGTAATGTAGTACCTGATGCCGTTTCTGGAACAAGAGCACTATGAGATGTCAAGTAAGTGTCGACTTCATCCTGACAATGATCTATTTAGGGATCAGGAACAGCACAAGATTCATCTGGATATAAACGAATGGCAGTGTGGATACTGTAAGAAAAGCTTCCGTGCTGAAAAGTTTCTTGATCAGCATTTTGACAACAGACACTACAATCTTCTTAATATAGTATGTGGACTGTATTTCCTTGCTTTAATATGTTAGGAGCACTTGTTCAATAAGTGCAAGATGCAATTTCGAATTTGTCATCACGTGTCAAACTTCTTCTTTTTGGTTGCACAATGGCATGCTGCATCAGGTCACTCAGTAATCGGTCTATGTAAAACATCTAATTTCATTTTCAGCTGATCCTGTACATATTTGTTTCCCTCTATTATATTTGTAATTTTGTTCTTATTTCATTTTACATAAACTTATCTGCAAATTGAAGACCTATTTTCAAAGAAGCATTTGTATCTAGTCCATGTTTATCAGTTCTGGTTGCCTTGGGGTTTCTTAAACCCACTTTACATATTTGTTTTATTTATTTATAAAGTATCAGTTTAGCTGTAGCATGATGGAATAATTAGATCAGAAAATAATTTATGAAGAAAAGTAAAAAGTGAAGACTAATTACATGGCTTAAATAAATAATTTCTGCACACTTGCATGATATATCAAGACATGATTATAAATTTATTTGACCTCTGTCTTTTCTGTTAGTTATATCTCTAATCTGGAATGTATGGTTCTTGTTTCCATTATATGGTTTGTTTTGTCTGCATGAATTTTTATTTTTTATGAATGCAGAGTGGCAGCAAGTGCTTAGCTGATTTATGCAGAGCTTTGCATTGTGATGTTGTAATGGATACCAAGTTAAGCAAGACCAAATGCAATCCTGCAGCTGCTGCAAGGAATCACCATCTATGTGAGGTTGCTTTACGGCACTATAATTTTTTTGTATTGTCAATTCTTATACATTACCTTGTCTGAATCTTTTTTTTTCACCCCATACTGTAGGGTCTTGCCGATAGCTGTTTTCCTATTAATCAAGGTCCCTCAGCACGCCGCCTTAATGGTATTTTTCTTTGTTATCAACAGAAACTCTACCATTTCAATTCTGACATTATTTGACTGCCTTATAGTTATCTCTTTTCTTGTGGTCGTCTTATTACTATTTCAGATACTTAATAGTTTATTATACTTATACTTACATTTTGATGTATTGGTAGAATTGTTTTTGCACCAATTTTGTCACGCTCACACTTGCTCGAGGAAACATAAACATTTTCCTAGAGGAGGAAAGGTAAGGTTTCAGTCTCCTAGTGCAATAGATTTTGCAATAAAAAATGAAATGTGCTTAAAACAAAATATGGAAAATTTCATTTCCCAGACTGCATAGATGATCTACTCATGTTAAAATCTTTTACCTGTTTACACTCTCATTGTCTTTCTACTGGCTTGTTCCTTTTGATGGCGAACACAGACTTCTAAGGTCAAATATCTCTGGCTACCATTAGTCTTTATGTGGCATAGTTTCAGTATCTTCTAGCTTATTTTATATTTCAGTATTTCGCAATCGTTGTCTGTGATTACCAAGATTCCTTTTTCTTTTGAAGATTTTGCTTTGCAGAAAAATATGTGGTCACTTTTTTTTTTTTTTTTTGCAGAAGCAATTAAGTGTATTCTATCTGGCTATTTCCATACTGACTTTGATGCTGCTTCCTATTTTCTATCTGATAGTTTATTTGCACCAAAGGTATCACTCTTGTGGAAATTCAGAATTCCTATCTAGATTCGTTGCAAGAATTTCCTAAATTGTATGTATTTTGCAGAGAGATGAGAACGGGAACCCAAGATCTTAGGCGCATCTCAAAAGTTGGGCAGAAGACGAAACCCTCATAGTAGTTGGTAATCTATATGCAAGTTCAAATATATACCGTTCATAATGTCATGCATAGTGTGCTTTGTAGTTGAGACAAGGTCTGTGATATTCCTTTGATACTTATTCCAAAGTAAAAAAGAAAAACATATGCCTCTTGGTGTCATAACAGTGGGTGCTAAAGTTTTTAGTTAAATGATTCGGAGGGTTTTTAGATTAGTGATTAATGGCTCTTTATTATCATTTATTACTAAATAATTAGTACTTTTTGCATCTAATGAAAGATGTGATAATTTATACAAATATCATTCATTGGGTATCCTTCCAATATGTATTCTATTGAATTAGTTTATCATCACACCACTACAGGATGTGCAAGTACATCACAAGGTGTAAGTTGTGACTAGAATTCTAACTCTTATGTTTGTCTTGTGTTTAAAATCAGGCACTTGAAATCATTGTTTAAATGAACAGATCAAGGACTAATGAACTTGCCGTTCAACATATTTCCTTGTAAATATGCATGTCATACGACACACGAAGGACTATGCTGCACCAGAATGCCGCAACAAAGCCAAATTCTAGATCACCATCTTAAAAGCTGCTCCGGCTGTGACATTTAATTCCCTTAATAAAGGCTCTAATGAAACAGAATTAGGTGTAAACAATTTAATTCTTCGATAAATTTATTATTTATCATTTTAAGTTTATAGCAATTCATCCTCAAAACTAGTCAGTCTGCCTCATGTGCCTTCGAATGAAGGTATATTTGTGTTAAGAGTCTTATTGTGAGTGCATTCATTTTCTAACAGATGAAGATTTGTTACAACTAATAGGAGGTTTTGGCTGGCAAATTTCATACTAATGCCTGTATATTTATGAATTCCCTGGTTCAATTTTTTAACTTTACCAAATAAAAGAAGAAAAATAAAACACTGAAATTATCTGCTTTATTATAGAATGTCACAAGGAGAACCATAAACAACATGCAAGTCCAAATATAATATTTAATTGCAAAGGCTAATTTCTGTAGCCATTAGCTCTAAAATTATCTGCTATATAGAATCATCATCTCTTTGATGAGCGATGGGCTTTTACTACTCGATGTTTCAGTCAACTTCGTCATACTTTGCTCCACAATGCCTACCCGATGCAGGCAAATTGTTTATGCTTAGTTTCTTCTTTCATCAGCTGAAAGCAATTGGTATGAGGATGGATAAGCTAAGCTGGTCGCTTATCTCCCGGATTCTCTGCCGCGCCATTTTCTTCGCTGCTGAATACTGATGGATGGGAGAGTTGAATTCTCTTATATAGGAAAGCCATCAACATATCACCTTGAATGATGCTATAAAAATACTATTTGAGTGCTTGTTCCACTCCACCACCAGATGCGGAAGGTACATGGGCTTCCACTTAGCTTATGGAGCTACAACCGCAAATGCAAGCGATATCAATTCATTCGATAAAAGAAAACCATCCGGATCACTAAGACGAATGTAGGCAGGACTTCTTTCAATCTTGTCCTCGTTTACTAGCAAGGCATTGAGTTCATCTGTAGCCATGGCCCTTCGCTGCTCATCCAAGAAAACCACATGCCCACTTTCAACATAAGGTTTATAGGCCTTGCAGAGAGCGAGAACAAGGGAGCTTCCATATTCTTCTCCAAACGACTTCAAATCCAGACCTCTTGAAGTTCTAAGAGAGAGCATGAGAACATCCGTGGCCATGTCCTGAGCAGAACGATTACTCTCACAGCTATCCACCAACCCACTTTCCAAATTCTCCACATAACCCATGTACTCTGTCATCCTTTTTGGCCTTGAAAACCTCACACCATCAACGTAGCTAGCAGAGCCAAGGCCAAAAGCATAGAAAGGTTTGTTCTTCCAATAAGTAAGATTGTGTTTGCAATGATATCCACTCTTGCAGTAACTGCTTATTTCATAGTGGTTATAACCCGCATCAGAAAGCGTCCTTGATGCCATCCTATAGAACTCAGATGACCGTGTTTCCGACGGCAATGGGAACTCCCCTGGTGTGTACCTACAAAAAAACTACTTATTCAGAATCAAATTCATTAGAAAAGCTAAACCACAGATTTCATCACTGAATCTATTTACTTACAACAATCCAAATTTTGTGCCTTGTTCCACTTGCAAATCATATACAGACACATGGGTAGGACAAGCTTCAACAGTTAGCCTCAAACTCTCTTGCCACATTTCTGGGGTCTGGTGAGGCAGAGAAGAGATAAGATCCATGCTCCAATTCTCAACCCCGCATGACCCAACAATCTCAATGGCCTCATAAACCTCCCTAAGACCATGTGCTCTACCACAAGCTTTCAACAACTCTTCTTGAAATGCCTGAACTCCCAATGACACCCTGTTCACACCCAACTCCATCATGTCCTTCATTTTCTTAGCATCAAATGTCCCAGGGTCCATTTCCATTGATATCTCAGAATCCGAACTCAACCCAAATTTCAACCTCAGCGTATCCAAAATGGAAGAAACAAGCTTGGGTGGCACAAGAGAAGGCGTGCCGCCCCCGAAAAAGACCGTTTCCAGAGGCGGGTTGGCCTTATTTTCGGCTTTCATTGCATTGATTTCTCGGCAAAGTAATTGAACGTAGTTGATCATTCGCGGGTCATCCTCGGTTTGGTTGGAAGAAGAGCCCAGAGCGACGATTGTGAAGTCACAGTAGTGACAGCGCTTTCGGCAGAAAGGGAGGTGGATGTAAGCGGAAGTAGGAGGTGGAAGAATGGTGGTGGGGGTGTTGGGTGAGGCATTTTGACGAACAGTTGGCGCAGTGTGTGCGAAGCAGCTAAAGATAGCGTTAGGCAGTGGTTTTGGGGATAACGGTTTGGCGGGAAAGGTTGAGAAAATCGGAGTGAAGCTTGATTTAAGCATTGTTTAGAGTGGAGATAAAACGAGCAGCGCGATAGCTTCAGCCTGTTATAAGAGTGAGAGAATGTGGCAACAGCCAGTTTACCGGAAAAGAAGGAAGGACGACACCGTTCTGTGAATTTCAATATTTATACCATTGTAAACAATAACTTATTAGTCATATAATCAATATTAAGATTTGGATATTCCGCTTTCTGAAAATAATGGATTTTAAAAATAAAAAATTGAACCCAATGAGAGTAAGAGCATATTGTGTATTGGGTCAAACCATAACTGATTACGTATTGGGAGTTATAAACTCTTAAAATTAATGTTACAAAATTGTTTTACACTGGGCATGATCTTCTCATACAAGGTGTTTCACCATATAAGGTCCTTCAAGCTCATAGCCTAATTTCCTATAGTAATGACGAGTTCCTACGCCCGAAATAACAGCGATCTTTGTGGATCTATGCTCCCTGCTCGCGATCCGCTCGGCCTCCTCCATCAAAAGTGTCCCATAGCCCTGTTTGAATCATTTAGACCATAAACATGTTAGAGAGAACAACACTTGGAATGGCATGAAACAGTTGATGTATACAAGCTACATTACCTGATGTTGCAGCTTGTCAGCATCCCGCCCATGAACTGGGACAGCAGTTCCATAAACATGGAGTTCACGAACAATAGAGCACTTCCCCATGAGTTCGGGACAAGACGTATTCCGGCCACACTTTCTCAGTCGCAGCAACCCAACCAGAATATCCTGTTTACAAAAAGAATACAAACAAAAGAATGTTAAGCGTCAGAATGCACAATCTGCTCACCATGAAAAACTCAATGCATAAAATTTTGTCAACAAATTACTACACAAATCAGAGAAACAACGAGTTTTGGAACAGGGAGATCCTCAGTTCATCTATATATGCTGAAGCAAAACTAAAATTAGATATTCTACTCAAACATTAAAGCTATGATCACTTTTAAGTATTCATCTTGCATCAGCTCAACACAGTTGCACATGACAAGAATAGAATGATCATTTCATGTGAAGCACTCTCTCAAACAAATAGATGGAATACCTGGCGAGTATCTTCATATGAAAGAAATGTTTCCCATCCTTCATTTGCCATATAATCACGACGAACAAGCTCCACTTGGTCTGGCTTAATTTTGTGATGTATGTCCTAAAATCATCAAGCATTTTTAGTAAAGTTCCATTATATGGAAGGGGGGCGGGAGGTCACATTTGTAGTCTCAGTAGCATAAATCATGTTCAAACAAGCATGGCTATCTGCGTACCTGAATTCCAGCCTCTCGTGTTCGAACATCACGGCACTTCAAGCCCAAGTCTTCCATCCGAGCTAAAGCCAACTCCCGAAGATTTCCTTTCTCAACCCCGGAAGTAACTAGAGGCATTGGAATGTCTCGCTGAACTCTATACACACGTGTCCAAGGAGGAACCATGGCTAGGATCCTTGCTACAATGTCCACAAGTTGCTCAGGTGGGTAATTTCTATACCTGAAAACAGAGAAAAGAAACTACAGTTATTTCCCAAAGACAAATGCAAGAGCAATCATAGTTTTTGAAAAAGTGTTGCAGCTTTGGGGCATGAATATTGGATCTCATAGTAAGGCACAAAATAAATATCATATTGCCCTATATCTGAATTATCCCCACAGCATCACTGAAAAGGAGGGAAGGGGGTATTCCTTCTCATATATGTAACAAATCAAATAATAAGTCATACCTGCCAGTTTTCCAAAGCTCATAAAGTCCAGTTCCACGGATCACAAGTGTTGGATAAATTTTAAGCCCATCTGCTCTGAACAAAGGGCTCTCAAAAAACTCCCGAAAACTCTCCATGTCTCTCTCAACCCCTACATTTGGTAGATCAGGCATCATATGGGCGACGACCTAGAGAGATGCATAAAAATTATTAGTATGAAAAACAAGAGTAAATCAACGTGAACAACTAGAATACACTGCAAGGTGCATATTGTAAATACTCCTGAAGGCTTTGAAAACACGTAGTATAAAAAAAGCAGCTTTCCATAAGAATTATGGTCATACAAGCATGTGCCTCTTTTTGAACTTAGGACAAAATGTAACAACAAAACCAACTACAGTTTCATAAAATGTTCTTGCGGAGTTAAGTGAAAGCACAACATATTTTAAAAACTATTTTCAAGCCGACAATTTTAGTTGCTGATTGCATTAAGGAAAGATTAGTCTCCAATGAATATAGAAAGGCCCAAATGCATTTTTCCACCAGTGAAGGTGAACAAGTTTTATGATAGGACACTAGGCTGACCTTGAAACCAGCATCCTTTGCCAGGCAAAAACAATCAGCCACTGCAGCTACTGTATGACCTCTATTGGTGTCACGAGCCACATCCTCATATGTACTTTGAACTCCAATCTCCAGTCTCGTACAACCATAAGAAAGCATTTGTCTCAAGTGAGGTCCAAGGCAATAATCTGGCCTCCTGCAGGACAAAAAGTTACAATCACACCTTAGGCAATTTTCTGGACCGACCATATCAACTGGTCAATAGATGGGAAATTAAAAAATTACTCTAAACCAAGTTAAATACAGGAATGAGAAATAGGGTGTTAACATCTAAAACAATTAAACTAAAGACTCACGTTTCAATGGTCATTCCAATACATTTAGTAGCACCATGCTCAGAGTAGGCAACTGCCTCTTCAACATTGGCAGAAGTGTGTCCTGATAATGCGTCATGCAGATTTCTAATAAAGTAATCACGGTAATCTGCTGGCAACGACATGAACGTACCGCCCATTAAGATGAACTCAACCTGAAAGCATAATTCATTACCAGTAAGAAGGTACCAAGTATGCATTTTACTCCATCATGGTAATCTGCACAGCCAAAAATAAACTTTCTAAGCTCTAAATAGAGAAACAGGCCAAACCTTGTCTACACTGTGGCCCAGTCGCTTTAGTTGATCTATCCTGCCCCTAGCCTGGACATATGGATTGTATCTACAAACACAGAACCAAAGTATTAGCAACCAAACAGCAACTCCCCAGATTGTAGTTTCACGTATCCAGTATTGAAATTCTCATTCCTTTTCATAGAATAAAACCAATCAAGCCAGAACTTTTAACTTCAACATTAGTCATAAACAACATAACCGCTAATTAACCTATCAACTGTTCGACAAAATGCATCAAACCATACCTGGCCCGAATTGCGCGCATGCTAGTGGGCTCGTAGCCAGTGTAAGACTGAGTGCTGTACTCGAAGTCCGAGTCTGGCCCACCTGGGCAATACACGCATATATTCCCGGTGGTGGCGATGTGGGGGCAGCGGTGAGGTTTCGACATCACGGCCACGACGGCGATGCCCGAGGCGGTTCGAACCGGCTTGGCACGGAGCTTCGGGAGAAGAGCCTCCCGGTCCGACTCGGGCAGAGCCGCGATCATTTCGACCAGCTTCGGCGCACGTGAGAGGCCGTACTTCCGGCAGGCGGTAGTCTTCAGCGCGTTTAGGTCGACGTTTTGGCCTTTCCGGGAGAGGTCGACCATGGCGCTCACAATTTCGGCAATTGCTCGGACCCGGGCCTCTTCTTCGGATAGTCCATGGGCTTCGAACCCTCCCCGACCCGGTCGGGGTTGCTTTCTGGTGGGCTCGGATACGGCTAACACTTCAGTCGCCATGGGAGAGAAAAAGAGAGAGGTGAGGAAAGAAGGTTAACTGGAACCGCCGTTTCTTATGCTTCAGCTCGAGTTTGTTAAGGTTTAACTAAAACATTTTATTTTATTTTATTTTTATGAAATCTAATTATTTTCATGTGAAAAAAAACTAATTAATTACATAATTTACTTTTTCAGAAAATACTTTTCTATTGTTGTCTCCGGTAAAAAGTCACCTGTTTGCCAGTTTCATCACTTTGCTTTATGTAGTTTCAATTTTTTTATTAATTTTATTTGTGTAGTTTTATATTACAACAATTCAAGAATACGTTATAAATTATATTAAATTTCTTCAAATTTCATTACGTTTTGAGCATAGGATTTAACCGAATTTATAACAAAATTGAATGTATTGTGACATAATTTGTAAGATATGCTTGAATCATTCAGATTTAAAACAAAAATAAAATTAACAAAATTGAAACTATGAAAACTAAATGATAAAACCGACAAACTACAGGAACAAAAATTACGTTTTGCATTTATTTCCCCATCAAATAGATAAGCAACAACAATGTGTGCTTATGGGGAAATAGATAAGCACAAAAATAAACTTTCTAAGCTCCAAAACCGACAAACTGCCAATATGTTTTTATAGCTTAATGTAATTTAAATTTTTTACATTTAGAAATTAGAAAATAAAACGCAGCGTTGAAGTCTTAATCGGTGTTCTTCCCGCATCTCCTAAATTTTCTGCCGCCTCAAAACAAAATTCTGGTGCGAGAAGTAGATTGTTGCAGAGCAACAAGCATGGGGAACGGTCCCAAGGAACGAAGCGAAGTAGAAGCTAAAGTGCTTGACAAGGTCGGAGAAGTAATCTCAGTCGTAAAGAAGGCCAAGCACGTAAACCAAATGATTTGCGCGCTTCACTCCCTCGCTATTCTTCTCTTCCCTCTCGACGCCTCTCTTCTCTCAGGTCACTCTCCCAACCTTTCACTTCTCCATTTCACCTTCGTCCACTGTCTTTCATTCTCGAATTTTTGAGCATGTGAACCGGTTGTTTGGTTTCCGAGAAAAATTGGACGAGAGAGTGTGGGAAACAGAATCTGAAACCAAAACATTGAACAAATTTGACATCTTGTGTCGTTTTGTTTTGGTTAAAAGATTGATTTATTGCAAACTGACTGATGTGAAATGTGGAATTTCAGGTGCTATTGACGAGCGATGCAGAGAGCTGGTGTGTCTCGTTTATTTTCCCGAAATTTCTCGAAATTTATTTATCGCAGCCAGTTTTCTGGAAATTTTATGCCTTTATGATTGTGTTTTGTGCAGGTACTTGGTGCCAAGGCTCCTTCGGCTGATGAGAGGAGCGAGTGGTGGCAAGTATTCTATGGAGGAGCTGCATTCTCGACATTTGCTAGGGTTCTGTTAATTGGTACTTTTATTAGCTCTATTCTCTACTGTTTATGCTGCTTTCTCCA